TGCCTATATGCCTTTCGTTTCCCCTTCAGTTCTTAGAAAGTCAGTGTATTGTTTGCAGAGAGATATACGCGAACCTATAAAACATCGGTTTTTCTGTACTTACATATTATTTCTTTCGCATTTCCTCTCTTATTTTATGTACGTTTCTATGTAAATTTAAGCAAGTCAGATTTGAAGACGCAAATTCCTTCCAGTGTGGTAGATGAAAAGAACATTTCTGCTGGGTTGGCGAGTAAAACGTCAGGCACTGCGTTCTGCCGGGTCGGTTAAAATGTTGTTAAACACGTACGGTGCCTGTGGCAATAACAATACACTAAACAAATTGTTTACAACCAACATATTCGCGAATGCTGCATCCAGACATTGAAAAACGTCTCAAACAGCCGGGAAGTTCACTTCCTAAATGTACACTAGATACACTTAATCTTAATTAGAAATCAGTTTATTCTCATATTTCCCTCTTTTCATGAAGCACATTCATTACAACAAGCCTAACATTGTTTGGAGTTTAAGATTTTTCCCGTATTGCCGCATGCAAGTATGCATTAATCAGGCGTCGGTTGATAATAATAATAATAATAATAATAATAATAATAATAATAATAATAATAATAATAAATCGTTAATTTCTATATTGTTGAACAATAACAGACGTTAATATAATATTAATATGTGAAGAAAAAACTTTGTACCATAATATTTGGCATAATATTTGGCCTAGTTAAATATTATGCGGAGAAAAAGTGCAGAAGCTAAAATATATAATGAGTAACAAATACACTAAATTAAATTAAATCAATATATGGATATATTGTGTATATGCAACCCGCAACACGCCCCAGCACCCTCCTATGGTGCATAACTCCCAACCGTTGCGTTTTAGAGCGTTAAAATAGTATATTATGCCATGCGTTTATAACGATCTTAGTAATGCAAAAAGCAACATTATAAACGCATTGCATACGCTGTTTTTTGTATAACATCATTATCGAATTAAAATTCTTTACTGAAACTGGAAGTAGAATGGTATGTCGCGTACGTAATGTAGCAAGACCAACTGTAATAGAGGCGGCCATGGTTGGCCGGGGTGTTTATTGTTCGTTGTGAAATAGATTTACCAGAGGCAATAATTACTGGCGTTCCCAATGCAGAATTCTCGCTAATAACTAGAAAATCAGCTGAAAATTGTGAAAAAGAATATGATAAGTTTGTAACTTGGATGGAAGAGAAAAATACGAATGGCGTTCTACTAGTCACAGAACAATGCATTGAGGAGTCAGTAGCCAATAAAATTAGAATTGTCAGGAAAAATGTATCTGGGAGAGAGACGCCGAACACAAGCGAGCTTTCAAAATCTCACAAATGAAATATTTTCTGGAAGCTCTGAATTTTCTTTTACGAATGTTTCGAACTGCACATTTCAGTTTCATTATTAATAAGTGTTTTTGAGTAATGATTAGTCAAATTTAAGTTTTAAAGGGTTTCTTTTGTTGATTTATAATTCTTGTTTTCTGTGTTACGAGTAAATAAAAAAGTCGAACTCCCGTATTTGCAATTGTTTGATGACGAATGTTATTTTATTGAATAAGTCTCAGAATCCTGCTGTTTCTGTACGATTTTCGATGCCATAAGAGATTTGTATAATGTTGGTATAGAAAAATGAGCTTTTCGTGTCCTGTAGGGACAGAAGTTTTGTTTTTGATGCCCTAATCTTCAAAATGTATTTTTAGATGCTTTATTCCAAGCTTACAGTTTAAGAGAAAGACCACTCCAAATTTGTATTTGTATACTTGAATAGCATACTATTATAAACAGAATTAATAATTTTAGCACGTCTAGTGCATTAGTTTTCACAAACGTTTGTAGTGATACTGTATTTTTTTCATTTAACTTTACATTATACAATAGGTGCACTGGAGACAGTATATTTTACTTTCTAAAGGACTTTGTTTCCATAGCGTTTCTCACCCATGCGGAAGAGGAAAGAAGCCCAATGATTCCTGTTGGTGCTTCACTGATCTTAATTCAAAATAATATTCTACAATAATATAAAAAATCAGTGATTATTTTAAGTAGAGGCAAGAGCACATATTTCTCGCAATATTATCGCTATTTATTATTATAATGTCGCAATTTCTTTCTTTCTTGCACTTCAAATACTACTTGATCAGAAACGTAAAAAAATTAAAAATTGAAATTAAAAAAGGTTTTTTTTATTTATTTACGTCAAAAACAGTTACAAATTGTGTGTGACGTGCTATGGTAAGAAGTTAATTTGAAGTTACATTTATATGTTGCTATTGAATCCAGTTTATTAAGATATTCTGTGTATTCACGAACATATCCGTTACGCAATCTATCCTTAAAAGCAAATGTCATTAATACGAACTAGCGATAGTGGAAGTGGTTGTAGTGGCGGCTGACGCTACTGCCCGTTGTTGCGAGCGTGGTGTTGTTAAAGCAACAATGGAGAATTTATTTGGCTTATACATTTCACAACCTAGTAATCCTCATAGTTCTGGCAAAAAATTCAAATTGTTAAATAATATAATATGGTAACATGCTTCAAACGTATTACAGTTAAGACGAATTACACGTTTATCTTCTTGTCTTAAAATGCTACGCTAAACGCTCCATACGTTTTCCCACATAAGAAATTTCTTTCAAAATTCTTGAGATCTACTCATTTTTCAAAAGTCTGTAGACAAGTAATATCATGTCGGAATTTCGATCCGTATTAACATATCTAAATCATCGCTTGTAAAACACATTAAAAGTTGTGGGACATTAGGCATTAAAATAATATTTTTGAAGCTTATATGAACGAACAAATTCGTCAGTTAAAATGCGTTTCGTACAGCTATAACATCTACCATTAATGAGAAAGAATTCTTCAAATTTATGTCGTGTCGCGACGCGGCATGTTCTAATCGCATATCTCTTGAAGCAAATAGACTTTGGGTAATTCGAGCTTGCAAATTTGAAAATGTAAAACTACTATAATTTTAAAAATATACATGACCATCATAAAGAACTAATTTCTTAGGAATTATTTCATTTAACAAAAAGATAATCATCATTATAGTACTTTTGTTATCTTAGTTTTTGTTGTTGTTTGGAAGTTTCGAAAATAGGATTTTTTGTCGAAAATTCACCTTTTTCCGCCGCACGATTACAATACTTTCTCGTCCTTATTTAATTTTAATTATAATTTAATAAGACGAGAAAGTTGAAATCTGATCTTATGCGCCCACAATACTTCTTTTAAAACTTTAAATTGTTGATCAAGAATGGAATATACGGACTAAAAACTAAGAGTGCTTCAGTATACTTTCATTTGCACAAGTGTGAGAAATATTCAGCTAGTGAGAAATGACTGAATTCCTTGGGAGCGTGTGCATCTGTGACGGTTGTGACAGTGCTGTTCCTGTGGACGTGGGTGGGCTTCGGCGTGCTGGGCGGCGCCCATCGCCTCTGGTCGCACCGCTCCTACAAAGCGGTCCTCCCCCTGCGCGTCTTCCTCATGATGGGGAACAGCATGGCTGGCATGGTAAGTGCCGCTCTTCCCAAAGATTCCTCTGATTCCAACGGCTCTTAAAGACTGGAAAGTAAATAAAACATTTCACTTTGTATCTGCATCGAAACCTTGCGAGCGATACATTGTCAATGTAGATAATAAATATTTTCTTTGGTGAAAACTGCAAAAAAATTAATAGCTGCTATAAGACATCTCAAGATATCAATGTAATGAACAAACTATTTTTTACGTTTTTGATGCTGTTTTATTAAGCAAATAGTGTAGTGCATTCTTGTTGTTTCTTTCTTTAGCATAGAAATGCCAGATCTTCTAAATGTATACTTCGTAATGTATTTTTACGAACTTCATTTGACTTCTGTTCTATAAAATTCTAATTATTCTGTTACAGGATTATTATGAACTGATTCAATAATTTAAAGATACAGGGAGAAAAACCTTGTCAAAAGGTTTACGCGTATAAATTCATTTTACATTGCGTCTATGATGTAAACATTTTGCGTTGAATAACGGTCCCAAGAATTGCATTCATACGATATGTATCCTTCTGCGGAATCCACCATGAGACATTCGTGTGGTATCAGATTTATTTGGAGAATGTGTTGCTGTTGTACGAGAAACACGATATATTTCGTTACATAATTTGTATTTTTATTAATATTTTTCAGTGTCTTGAACGGAAATTTAATCGGATTTACAATTTTTCTTGTGATAAATATTATTTTAGTTTTCATACATTTACTTTTCGACAAACTCGGTCGGATTTTTTGATTGGATCAAACACGAGAAACGAGTTTTCATTTTTCAACATTATTTACATCATGTCACTGTCAGCTCCCAAAATGCATAATACTAAATAAAAAATAATGGAAAATAAGCAAAGCAGTATATGTTTTTCCTGTAATTTCAGTACAACCACGTGATGAGTGCAATCAATAAACAAAGCAATGGCAATTATTTTACACGTTGCATCTGTAATATTATTTATTTTTTTATATGAGATATTGGGAGATGGTATATTCATGAATCTTTCAAAGCCCAATTTTAAAATTCGCACCAAACATTCACTTTTTGATTAATATTATTATTTCGGTTCATTGTCTGTTGTTGTAATTTTCCGTTTGGCATTATCCGTTAACAAATGCATTGAGTGATATTTGTTGAGCCTGCTCCCTCTTCGTGTTGCAGTACTGCATTTGGGACTGGGTGAGGGATCACCGCGTTCACCACAGGTACACCGATACGGACGGTGACCCACACAACTCCAAGCGCGGGTTCTTCTTCTCGCACATTGGCTGGATCATGGTGCCCCCTCACCCGCTGGTGATTCGCGCCCGAAAGGAGGTGAACATGAGTGACATCGACAACGACCCAGTCTGCGCCTTTGAGAAGAAGTAAGTGGATGTATGTTCGATGTAAGTTAGAGGCAAAGTTTACTTATTATTATTTTTGTAATTATTTTTATTTCAAGTCGCATAAACAACATAAGTCATGAGCGACTTGTACATTTGGGGCTGCGATAGTGCAACGGTTAGCGTATCGGACTGTTATACCAAGTTCGTGGGATCAAACCCGATTGACACCGTGGATTTTCAATGGCGAAAAATTCTTCGTACACTATCCTCCGAAAGAGAAGTAAAGTCGGTTGTCCCATGTTAATAAATTTACTGCATGTAAAAGATTCTCAAGTCTAAATGAAGCCTCTTGAGGTAAATTCAAATCGCCTATTTGTCGCCCAAGAAATACCACCTTTCTCCTCTAGATAGCGAAATTTGCGTGGTCAGACTCATGGCTGAGTCTCGCCACGAAAAATAAGACATCAATTCAATTAATAAAACGCAATTACAATTCAGTTAAAATATGAATAGTTTTGCAAAACTGTATCCCTTTTTCTTGGTATCTTGGCTAAGTTAAAATTGCATTGAAGTACATTTCCAAGGCACGTGTTTCTTTGTTCATTGTGGATGGGACATTCCAGAAAGATGTGTTTTATTGATAGTGTTTATTGTTGCACGTAGTACAAGTAGGTTGTGAAACTTTTTCAATTAAACGTTTATGAGAATGGATTGACAGAATCCTTGTTAGAGCAACTTGTTATTGACGATTAATTAGATATTTGTTACAAGTCAAAAAAATAGTAATATTTTTATGAGTGACATCGACAACGACCTAGTCTGCGCCTCTGAGAAGAGGTAAGTCGATTTATGTCCGATGTAAGTTGGAGAGAAAATGTACTTATTATTTTTGTTTAGTAGATAATGGCTAGAAATTGGCAAATATATTTTTTTTCATTTCGGCACCACTTGTTTATTTTTCGATACAATCATTCCACTTATTTAAGTGAGTGAAGTTTCCGAGCACGTCAACTGCTATGATCAATAGTCCCGCTAGTGTAGGGAATGTTCTACGTTGGAGGGCGAGGCTTTCTTCGCTCGCTGGATAGGGAGATCTGGCGCCGACGAACACATTGGCTTGCGGGGAAATTCCCCTCCAGGTATGTTCTCTATTGGGAGACTGACCCAGCCTGGACTAGTTCTAAACCCCGCCTGATTTCCCGACATGTATGGTAGTATAATGCATGTAATAGTGAGTAAGAGGAGGGAAAGCCCAAGGAAGAGAAAGGAATGATCACACGAGCCGTGGCCCCTTTGTTTGGGTACTGCTGAATTCGACCTAGCAGACAAGATAGTGTGGACAATGAGGACTCGAACCTGACCAGAACCTCTCTATCAGAATCACTGCAGAAGTAGCCGCAATGCTGGCACTGAGCTAAACTCAACCGGTTCATTTATCACGACAGAAGGTGGTGTTCTGCAGACTTTTTTACAACTGCTTCTAGCTCTCCTTCATCATAGAGTAACGACCGATTACCCAGTCTTTTTAGGGTTTATCACAGCAGGACAATGCTAGACCCCATCTCTCCCCCACCCTAGGATTCTTCGCACAGTCCACCATACAGTCCAAACTCGTTGTCATTGGACTTAAATGCAGTAATGGAAGGCTTAAATGCAGAAGGAAGACTTAAAGGAAGTAAGTGCAGTAACTGCTGGGAGGCAATCGAGTTTAAAGTGACAAAGAAAATGAAGACGCAATAGCAAAATAGCAATATATTGCAATAAATCTGAATAAAAATCAGACAAGTTTTTTTACTCAGAATGGCGTAAAGTATATTGTGTGTCGGGTATGGGTTATTTTTTATAAATAGAGATTAAATAGTATTGTGCTCTCAGCACCACTTGCCATTACATACCTCATTTTCAATTTTGACTCTTTTGCTTACAATCTGTTCTCAAAAGCTCAAATGATATTTTTTCTTGATTCCACAAGCTTTTCTTTGCTCCATAAATCGAAACCTTTGCACCTGAGCTTTCTTATGGAGATACCAGTCTCTACATGATAAATATAAAATTTACAACAGACCAGTAATTCCCAACCATGAACATAGACTAGATAGATGTATAATGTAGACATTCCACAACTATCTAAACGTAGCACAATTTTCTGTAAATATAATTTCAATTGATTCAATAATATATCCTCGATTTTTCGAATAAGCAGAGAACAAGAAATAATTTGGGGTTTTTGTATCCTGATTCCACTCCACATCCAGATTCAAGTCGAAAATATAGAAGTTTGAAAAACAGATTTCATCGACCTAACCGCTTCCCGCCGACCACTTCTAATTACAAATGGTTTAATTAATTTAATGTAGAAGTACATATGACCATTATATAGACAATGAAGAATTTCATGAAGCACTTTGATATTAAAATCCACCGTACGTAGATCAACAGATTCTTACTTATGGTGCTTTATTTAAATATTGACAACGCTTTCCAGAATGTTTAAAATATAATCCCCTGAAGTATGACGAGATATGCAGATAGCGATCAACAACGCCGAAGTGGGTAAAATAATTTGAAACACTGCAAGAGACAAACTGCAACATATCTGAGGGTGTTCAATCCATATCAAAACGGCGATTAGACACACATCCTATCCTGTTTTCATTTTCCGGGCCAGCTATAAGCCAGAATAAGTTTAGTCGTTATTTACCATTGAAGGGAAGCTGTGAAATAGCCCTCCATCTGTTCCCCGCAATAAGAATCGTCCAGCATGAATTACTCTACCAGCAATAGTGGGGTCACCCACGCTGTACCGATTATAACTTCATCACAATGTGAAAACTACGTTCGTTTAGTCAGACCTACAATAAAGCGGCAGCGACCTTAATCATTAGTGCCTAAGAACTGTTCAATCGGGCGGCACATTATTAAATTTTACTTGGCATATTGGTCAAGATTTTGTATTTACATTGAATGTTAAATGATATGTTATGGACTAATTTAACTCAAACGAATGTAAAAATCAATGTAAAAATGACTCGCGATATCAGAATGTAGGCAAAATGGAGCCAGATGTCTTCCAAGTAAGTTGTAAAGTTATTACGTACACAAGTATTTACTCATGGCATATCTTTTACATTCAATAATAACTTAGTTATGTAATGATTACAAAATACGTAAGTATAATTGCTTATGCCTTTTTATGCTTATAAAATTGTGGTAAAATTTAGCCATCTGATGTAGCGGACTGTACGCAGCCAAGGTACTTCCGTAACTCTATGTAATAGAAGGGTACAACCTTATCCTATATGGAAATTTTCGTTGAAAAATCTGGAGCAGTTTTTGAAACAATGTTCTTTAAATGCGAAGTAATGTGAAGTTTAAAGCTATTTTTCATAGTTTACTTTGGATTTTTCGAGAAACTTCTTTGAAAAGCATTTCAAGTATTTCTACTCACATATGCAACAATGTATACAAATTGCCGGAAATAAAATTTTAACGAGTGAGAGGCTTTGTGAAACTTTTTAAAAAACAAAATAATAGAGAAAATGGCACTAGTGTCACCTTATATTGTGCATTTAGCATTATCCCTACCAAAAGTTTAAAGAAAAAAGTTAGTGATTTTTTTCGAGAAATTCTTGTTTTTGTTATATTTTAATATTTTAACACGTATGTCAGGCAAAAACTTCAAAAGTTGTAAGAAAATGCGCATGACCTCAATAAAAGAACTAATGAGGAGAACAAATTTTATTTGAAGGAAAAATCTCTATTTTCAATTTTGTTGTACTATAAAGACGGCGAAGAAATTTAAACTTTTGCAATTTTCGAAAATTTAGTTTACAGTAAAAATAGAAACTACACCACCTTTATAAGTCTATTTCAATTATTATTACAAGAAATTTAAACAAAAAAAATTGGAGTCATTTTGGGGGAAATTTTGAAAATGTCTCAGGGCCTTCTTGTAAAGTACCCACAAAAATTAATGAATGTTATTCAAACCCTCAGAGCTTTGAGTGAGGCCAGCTTGACTGAGGAGTATTTAGTTTGGAAAAAATTCTACTTATATTTTAGGCGTTAGTGTTGTTCACAATCGCCAAACAGACGGACCTTTTTGCCGCAAAATTTCATTACTTCCTCTACATTAAGAATATTACTCCGTATGTACGTATGCGAGGAAGTAAAAATTAGATAAACTGAAATTTGTTGATAGGAAAAGGCTGTTATAGCATATTGTTTGTCTTGCAAAGTGTGTAATGTACATTATTCAAATCAGGGTATATAATTCAGCGAGGAATGATTTGGTAGTTTTGGCGAACGTGCAGACGGTAAAAGGAAGCGTGCAAATCAGTGTCATTCGTCATGAGAAGGCGGCTCTGTGCCCTTTGTGGTGCAATCAGGTGTGCCCTCGCTGGTTTCATGAAGAAATCGAAATTTATTTGCAGAAAATTCAATGTGGACCTTCAAACCGAGTATTGGCTTCAATACCATACTGCCACGGAACAATTGGGAGAAGCCATTTATTACTTCTTTGACCTTGTAGACGCCGTATTTCTTGCTAGTAGGCTATAACTTCGTCTGACTCCGACCTGTTGAAAACTGCAGCATTTACTGTCTTTTGCGTTCGCATCGCAATGCGTTCATTCAACATACATCCGGCCAAACGCTTCTCGTGCCCAACACACATGTTCCCGTGGACAAACTCATGATCAACTAACATTAAGTATTAACCATAATCCTATTACCAACAAAAATATTTAATTTTCTTTTCAGAAAACAACTTTACGCACTAATAGGCTAGGCACAGTTATGGTTTCGGGACGGGAATACGTCATGCTCGTCACTTGTCTTCCTTATTCCCAGGCGTAGATAATAAATAAAAACAGGGTTCAGGCCTGGGGACATCGCTAGCTGGCAACAGAGCGATAAGTACGTACACACAGGCGGGCACATAACACAAGCAACCAAAACCGTTGCTTGGGGCAGCACTCTTTTGGGGCGGCATTATGAAAACCAACCAGTAATTCTACACCTGCCCTTTCACGCATTTTTTGAATGGGTGAAAACCAGACCGGTAGAAGTGACATTTTATAAATTCCGAGAAAACGTGTTGATTTTAGTAGACATGTTTTTGTTGGTTTTAATGAACATATGAAATGCCATAGTTTTAATGATGGAACAAAGCACCAAGACTTTACAGTAATATTTACTAAATAAACAGATTTCTGAGAATTTATAACATGTCACTTCTACCATTCTGGTTTTTACCCATTCATTTCAACATCTGCAATATTCAAACATTCAAGAGGTCAACAAAAAGATAGACCTCCGCCATTATTTTAAGCGTGCTTTGTTCTATCCCTGGAAACAATTTGGAGCGTTTTTTGAGATTTTTTTAATAAATTGATTTACTTTCAAATACAAAACGCGAAAACTACTCGTTCTTTCAAACATTGTTCTGACCTTTTAAAGAGTTGATTTTGTAGAGCAGAGCAGGCAAAACTCTTTATCTTCAGTTTTATATTTGAAGATACAATTAGACTACGTTGAACATGTTTATGGCGTTTCAGACGGGTTCGGTTACTAGATGTTACTAGATTTTAAACATCACTGTATGGCGTTTGCAAGTCAGTGTGCAATTTTTTGGTGCCTTCAACGGTACCCGTTTCAACGCGCTCGTAGACGTTTGAGCCTATATTTACTTCGTAGAAGAAGAAAGTTTTGTAATACTGCGTGAAAACATGCCATTTTTTCAAATGTATATCCGCTATACCGAAAAATTGAAAAATTCGTGCTTCTTTATGTATTAAATTTCTTTCTACGCATTGTAGCAATGCGCAATGTGTCAGGATCCACGTTTGGTGGCCCTCGTCTCCCTGAAAGAGTGGTGTTCCGGCCGGCTGCCTCTCACTTCATTTCATTCCTTATAATGTTTATGAGGAGGTACAGTTAGATAAAGTTGTATAAAGGCTACAAAAAGTCGATGTTGAGATTTCGGAAATACACGTTATTCGAGCCCTTGGTACTGAAAATGATTTTTTCTCAGGGTGGTCTTTGGCCGAAATTGACGTTATTTGATAGATCTTCATACGGATCTTTCAATTTGTTCAGGTACTTTATATGAAACTTCACAGATAGTTTCGAAATTTTGTCGAAAAGGATTGCTTTTTTGCATTTGACGGAGTGGAAATGTTTACCTGCCAAACTCCGGTGTAGGATTATTGCCTACCAAACAGGGACGTGATGTTCAATATGACGTGATGTTTCTATACCTTTGTTATACGAGATTTCTCTCCATATATTTCTTAGGAATAAGTGAATATCTTCGATCCCTCTTTATTCCTTACAGACTTAGTGACATTTACTCTGAGACTTCTGTATATTTATCTTTACATTGTATTATATATTTGCATCTCTACAAATTGGTCAGTTTCAAATACATTGAGGCATGGAATTTGCATCCTAAGAGAGCAATTTGTAATTAAAAATCATTATAATTAAAAATATTTTCCCATAAAACTTGACTTGAATTATGTGTAAAAGTGAATATATTTTTGTTTCCATTTTCAAACCAAAGTTTGTATTTGTAATATATGTATTTGGATAAAATACATATATCATACTTTCGGTTGTATTTCAATTGAGCTACGTGAAGGAAAACTGTTACTTAACATCTTCGTTTTCTTTTACGTAATGTTCTTTTGCCTTTAGGTTCCATATGCCCCTCGTGTACCTGCTGTGCTTCGCCATGCCGATCCTCGTACCCATCTTCATGTGGGACGAGTCGTGGTCGGTGGGAATTGCTGTGGGCATGGTGCGATGGGTGTTTGAAGTCAACGCGATATTGAGCATCAACAGCTTTGCTCACATGTTCGGCGGACGTCCTTTCAACAAGTGAGAAAATGATTCTGTGTCCTTTCAATACGCACGAATGCCGATTTTCATCACGTTGATTTACATTTCAATGATTTGTCATTTCAGTGATTTTTTTTTAATTATAATAATTGCAATATGCCTTTATCGTAGTTTAGTGTATTATCTTGAGAAATATTTAATAATTTACAAATAAGTGTATAACCAACAGAGATAAATAAGAAAACTTTTAGAAATAACATTTCATTTGAAAATTTGGAAAATTTAACTTAGAATTGTGGAAAATGAAATTGGGAATATGTTCCATATTTTAGTCGAAAGGGACAATATATCCATTAGCTTTTACAAAACTGAATTTATCTCCTTCCTGTCTAGATCAATCTTAAACATAATTAAAACTGAATAGATCTACTGACGCATCAAAATAAATCTAAAGAGGTTCTTCTCTGCCCAAGTTATGTGTGACATACACATTCATGTAGGCTTGGTAAAAAACACTTTTTCGTCTCAGGGACTCGTCGAAAGTTACCACCAAAATTTTGACTTCGAAATGTTTGACCAAATCAGATTCTTTTCCTCTATACTATGTATACTCGAGGAAAAATAAAATCATTGCGTAACTGATCAATACTCTAAAACCTACAATAGTAGATACTAAAACCATTGCTTCCAGGAAACTGTGACAATGAAGTGCCCGTGTCATGAAAATCTCCCCGCATATAATAGACTGTTTAGCAATTTGTGTTTTAAACGATTATTCTTTTGTAAAAATAATGTCATTGAAAGGCATGTGCAGTAATAAAACATTCAAATGCATCTGATCAGTGGCTAATCATTCAGCGCGCCATTGAATATAAACGCCTTGTAAAATAACGGTTTTTTTTCTTTTTCATTGAAATATAATATTGTTCCTGAGTGTTGTTGCGTGGTAGAAGACATAAAATCATGGACCCTTTCCCTTTTTAGGACCATCTTACCGGCCGAGAACAAGTGGGTGTCTATTGTGAGTTTAGGCGAAGGCTGGCACAACTACCACCACGTATTCCCCTGGGACTACCGGGCCTCGGAGTACGGCTTCCTTAACACGACGATGCACCTTATCGGGCTGTGTCAGCGCTTGGGCTGGGCGTACGACCTGAAGACGGCGCCGTCGTCTCTGGTGCGGCGGGTGGCGACGCGCTATGGCGACGGCTCGCACCCGGACCGGGCTGCGTACGTGCCCGAGGTGCCGGAGGCGGCCGCCGAGGACCCGTCCTTGGTGGAGGCACTGCTCACACCACCACCACCACCACCCAACACCACCGCACCGGCCACCAACCAAGCGGAGGCGAAGAAGGACGCGTAGCTGCTGCACTCGACTCGCTCCCGTTGCTAAGGGAGCTATCAAAACAGTAGTGCCTCGAAATTTGTTTGTACTCTCGTAACATCTTAACTGCTGCAGTCAGTTTCTTGGCATCGATGATATTGTAAAATTACAGCAAAACTCCTCAATTTGGACATGCCTCTATATTGATCATATATTTCCCACATCAGTTATGTTCTGTACATTTCTGGGCACCGTATATCTTGGAGCCTGCTCTAAATTAGACCCCTTTCCAAGGAACTGAAGGTGACCAACTGAGAGGTCTGTTTCTATGAATCGATCGTGTGGCAAATCCATTAGCCAAGGCGTTCTTCTTCCACACTACGATTAGGACATACGGTTATGTTGTGGCGTGTTGAACTTCCGGCTTCATACTGATTGGCAAACAATAAAAGAGATATCTAATAGGGATTTAAGAAGTCTGTAAAATTAAATAAAAATTATCACAAAAACAAGTTCTTTTGTTCTCTTGAACGATTAACAACCATCAAGAAATTTTCCAAAATTATAGAAAATTGTTCAAAACGTGAATTCTTCTCCCTTGTTGGAGAATTAACCGCATAGCTGGAGAACTGACACTTACAAATAATACTTAAAAAATATTTATTTTCAACTAGATTCTCACCTTTGAACTTGATGATAATGATAAATCTTTTTAAAAATGGTACTTCTACAAAGTTTTCATTCTCTTTTGTTTCTGAACATTAATCTTTAAATTATTTATAATTAATTTACAAAATTCTGAAAGTAAAAACATTTATTTCATGTTTCACTAAGTATTTAAAAGTAGCTGACGATTGTTTTATTATAATATTGTTCACTTAGTGTAAAAGTGGCATTGCTTTTGTCAGTTCTTAACCAGGAAGGGCAGCTGTCAAAACAATCAAGGGTGAGCTGGGTGAGCAAGGGTGAGCAATCAATACACTTAAACACAATTGAGTTTTTAAAGTTTTTAACATCGGCTTTTTGAGGGTGTCGACATATAACATTGAAGCGTATTGAATTTGCAATTCAAATTTATTGTGATAAGATGCAGTAAAATCAATTTGAGTTTATTTCAAAAAAATATGTTCACTACCATTTTAAGATCACGCAGAATAATGGTGAAAGTAATGAGTTGTGTGATATACAGTGTTTGAATGCATTAAGTATTTTACAATTACTAATAGTAAAAAAGGAAATTATTCATATCTGGGTTTTAATGACTGAGTTTGATGATGAACTAATTCAAGAAATTGCCATCAACAATGATGCATTAACAAGGATGCAGCATGATGAAATTCAAAGTCCATCAATGAACATATTTAGAGGAACTACTGTGACACTTTCATTCCTATCACTATAGTTAACAATTCGGTAGAGATTTCATTGTAGTTAGGAAAAATCGTTACACCAACGAGTGTTCTATTAAAAGTATTTATACAATCTCTGCTAGTACAACATTCAGTCGGGACAAAATACATATACAAAAACTCATGGTAAATTTGGAAATATTGCAATTTAACATTTAGAGAAATAAATTATTGAAATTTTACTTTTGATTACTTGTTAAAACTTTCCAGTTTTGGTTATATAAGAAATGGATCTTACCCCACAATTTCCTGTCACCTTATATAGCCAAAACATGTTTCTCAATTTTAAATTAATGAACTCAAAATCCCTATCTGTTAATTACGTCTTCCTGAACCATATTTCATATTCTTCTCAACATTAAGAATTCCTATCATCGATCATTCCATTTCTTCATATAATTTGTGAGGGAAGTAAATGATTTGCTAATGTTCCTCAAAAGATGTATTCTCAATATAATTTCATTATTATATATATATAAACTAAATCAAAATATGATTTAGAGCCATTTTCGTATAACTCAGACTTCGTTATTGCGTCGGGATATTGCATTAGATCGAAGAACTTTGTAAAAGCGGTAAAAGTAAATAGAATTCTTAATGAGCTTGAAGAGGACCATAGGTATGATCAAATATTCTTTTTATATTCACCGCTGACACGCTACGTTCCCAAGTCTAGCTGATTAGGGGCTTATAATAGGAACACATCAAGAACTTTGGCAGAACTGTAACGAAAAGAACCTTTACAATGATCTCAAGCACATCTTGTGTCGCTATTACTACAATAAATATTACAATGACCTTGTAAGGACATTTAACGAAAGAAATGAATACACCGTCAATAAATAAAATATACTGATGAACTTGAAATGAGTAGACAATTTATTATTAGTATTATGAAACTGATGTTATATTACATTTCCTTTCAATCACATTTCTTCCAAAGTCTTATTCGTAATTATTTAACTTCAAAATGATATCTCTCTTCCCTTCTCTCTCACCCTCTCTCATACACTCTGTCTTTCCCTCCCACTCTCCAACTCTCTCACTCTCTCTCTCTCTCTCACTCTCTCACCTTCTTTTCCAATCAAAATCATATTCTTTCTCGACAACCATCTCTGCTTTCCTTCACAACTAAATCTTTGTACGAGTAAATGACATAATAATGTCTTGCCGGAGCGACAGCGTCTTGTCTTGTTCTTTGGAGAGTAGTTAAAGTCACTAATTATTTTGAAATCGTAGAAAACAGATCAGATCATTTGTTTCATTGTGAATTCTATTGAAGAATACATCAATTGATGAATGTAGATTCTGTATCTTCAATTGCGATACTTGGCATCAGACTCTTTAAAGTGTTGGTTCAGTACCAAGGAAAGTCGGGAATGAAAAAATATAGCAGCTCTTATTTTGGCATTAATGAAAGAATGTGATTGATATATTGATCCTCAGTGACTTATTTCTGCATAAATCAGACCTTTTGTGAATAATATAGATAAAAAAGTTGGCAATGAAAAACTCAATTCTGATAATAGACGTGTACAAAAATGTAAACAGAAATACTATTAGTTGCCTCAGCAACTACAGAGTAAACAATCACTTTCTTTCATTAATTGCAGTGTAAGTATTTATTCATTCTCTCCTAAGCCTTTTAAAAGCACGTTTATAAAAGTATAGAAGATGAAAGAAAAATATTAAGTGACAGTTCAGTAGAAAGTAGGCGACCAGGAAAAAGCCCAATTTCAATTGATCGCGATTTATTTTCTTTGTTATATTCACAGTAAAGAATTAAAAACATAAATATCGGTAATTTACAAGTGCGTGGAAAAAACTAAAATATATAACTGTATCGAACTCTCGTGAATCAAGGTATAAATGTAAAACAATGGACTGAAGTTCAAACTGGAATGAAAATTCTCATTCTTCTGGGCCTTATCAGGTCACCAACACTGTCACTACTTTGTGATTCGTCAATATATCTTCTTGAAATACCAAGATCATTGCCTTAATAATATCACTTTCGTAGGACACTTCCTGATCTGTACTTTAAAGTATACTCATAGGTAGTATCCTGATCTAGAATGTTAATTATCGTATTCTCATCGAGAAGTTCTAGGCCCTCGCAGTTCATGACAAATTATTAGCAATAAGTTTGAAATTCGAGATATGAAAGAATTGCGATACATGGCAGGAATATGAAATATGAAGTGATAATATAGGATGAATTTTAGATGTCTATCAAATTTGTGCAGGTTCATATATAAAGATTTGAATTATATTGTCTGTTAGAGATAAATTTGTAAGTTTTTAAAGTTTATCGTAGAATAAATGATCGATATTTAAAAATTTCTCACAAACAATAAATAAACATATTAGAATATATGCTTCGTTATTTTGCCTTTGTTTATTTGCTACTAACCTCCCAGACGTTTTACTTGTTCTTACCCACAGACAGATGCATACCAATGTCATTCCAGTACCCTGAGAATAACGGCCGACCCCATGAAGAATTACAAGGAAAATTTGTATATACTTAATAGCGAATCCTACATAATTTAACAATATACTGTAAAGTCTCATTTACACAAATTCCAAGAAACCAACGTTCGTGTTATAAAAATTCGTGTTACTCGATTATTGTAGACCTGTTCTCTGGCTTCACAGTCCGATACGGGCCTTAGCCGACCAGCGGTGGCCCAGCCTCTCCACAGTATAAAAGGTGGCCACGGTATAAGGGGTTTGTGGGGTTAGCACGAAGACATCCCTCCACCGTGTATCCACCGGTCTTCATAACCTTAGAGTGGACTTTCCCATCGTCACACAGCAATAGATACTGGGACATTTGCAAGGAAAGCGCACGGTTACAATTTTGACCCGGTCGGAAATCGAACCCGGGTTTGAGACTTGGAAAGCGAGTACGCTAACCAACAAGCTACTGAGAACTTGATTATTGTAGTACATATTCTTATTACCATGAAGCGCATCTAGAAAGTTTCTATAGATCGTCAACAATAAAGCAAGACAATTTCTCTGAAAAACGTTTTTGTAGCAGATACACCACATGTTGCACAATTTTCCCACATAATCTCACCAGTATCAATACATTTGTCATTCAGTGGGATCAAATGTATCCCTGTGTCGCAGAAGTCTGCCGCCTGAAATAGGTAGCAGTGTTTGACAGCCACCCAGTGAAGTGGCTCAGTGCGTAGCGCGCTGACTTCGGGAGGTCCGGGTTCGATCCTGACTGGGATTTTGTGATTTCTCTCGGTCATAAGACAAGTTTTGGAATGTTTCAGAAAGGCCGCATTTACCTCAATTCATCATCCCATCAACTCATAATAATAATTATAATAATAAAAATAATAATAATTCACAGCGGGGACAAAGTTGATCGCATCCGTGTTCTACCACATGTGTACCTTAGGTAGAGCTACAAGAACAACAGTGATTCGCCACCTACGTACTTGATAATTATGAACGATAATTATAAATCCCCACACGCTGAGGGAAACCGCACGTCTGTTCTGGTCAGCGCGACACCTAATGGATAACATGCCAAGGGTGGGCTTTGGCTATTAAGTAAGTGTTTGACAGCCACCTGCAACTCTGCGTCACTGTGACGCGCATAATGCTGACCATACAGGGATTTCTTGAGGTGTAAGAAAATGTGGGAATCACTGAGGGGCAAAACCCGGACTATGGGGTTGATGGTAAAACCCCCCAACGAATCACCTGCTACCAGGTCAGTTGCGAGTCGAGCCGTGTGTGGCAGATTGTTTGACCATCCATCCTATAGCCCTGATGTCGGCTCCATCGTTCTTTACACCTCAAGAAATTCCTGCCCGGTAAATTGATTGATTATATTGTGCTGCCTGGTGTGCCAACTGCTAAGATTCTTAGTTCCGTAAGCGTAATGAATATTTTTTTCTGGAAGTGGCAGTGATCGTGCGCGGCTGAATGATGAGATTTGGCGCCGATCTACCCATCGACTAGCGAGGTTTTCCCCAACCGAGTATATCCCACCAGGAAGGAACTGTCGGGACAAGCTCTAAGATCCCGACTATTCTTTCGACATGTGTGGTAGTGTAGTGCATGTAAGTGTGTGTAAGGGGTGAGGAAAAGACAGGAAGAGAAAGGAAAGAGATTGCGCACGGTCCGTAACCCATTTGTTAACCCTGCGAACTCTAGAACCTCTCTATCAGAGGCACTGCAATGACATCAGCTGATGCTCTGAACCACCAAAGTCCGTTTGTCTGGTCAATATTACGTGTATCACAGTGAAGCAGAGTTGCAGATGTATGTCAATCACTGGTTCCTATCCTAGGCGACTGACTTCAACGACTGAGGGGCACAATTGTTGACCCCACGTTATGACAAATTGTGTCAATTCTGGTGAGATTATGAGGCTTTGGCAGTAGTGCCGGCGATGAGAGCCATTGGCTGCTGCAACAGAACTTCAATAGGCCGTTGACAAAATGGCAGTTGTCACTGGAATCGTTTGGTATACACGTTTCACAGCACCGCACTCCTTTTTCCCTTTGACACAACCAAATGTAAATGAATAAAAAGATTCTTATTATCATCCTTTCTCTACGTACAATAATCTAGGGATGAATGAAGGCTTTTGCCAGTTTATAAAAATTGATAGACGCAAAACACCGTAAGTAGGCTACTTCTGGATAAATAATTTCTCCACATTCGTCCTTCGAAACAGATTTAGAACGAACAAATATAAATTTGCAGATTATGAGGTGAAGAACAGATTATTGCAACACACATTAAATTCGCTCATAATTTTCAATCCTAAAACCTAAAACAACGTTTTCTAAAATATAATCCTAAAACTAGGTTTTCTTTTGCTACAAGGACATGAGTTTGGAGAATGTTGGTGAGTTTTGTGAGGTCATGTGTGTGAGACACGTGGTGGATATATGCAGGACATGAATGAATTTTCGGAATAAAGATGGAGACGGGTGTGGCCTTGAGAGGGAATATTTGAATTTCTGTAAAATTTAATATCAAAGATTAGCATTATAGGAATATTTACTATGCACAATACCGAACGTGTAAAGCAGTCAGTTTATGAGTTGTTCGAAGTTAGGGTCCAGTATGAAGCTATGCTATTTTCCCTTTAAAGAACATTTTAACTTTTCCAACGTTTAATGCAATATGACGGCAAACTGACTAATATTATTAAAGTAATGAATATACAATGATTTTGCCCTCGCTGTTTAGCGCATTGGTCAACGTGCTCGCTTTCCATGACGCAACCCCGGGTTCGATTTCGGGTCGGGCGAGATTATAGTGTGCGTTTTCATTGCAATGTTCCAGCGTTATATGTTGCTGCGAGACGATAAGAAAACTCACTTCTCAAATTGAGAAGACCAGACTACGGCGAGGGGATGTCTTCGTATTTACCACACCTTAACCCAGGTCAGCGATGCCGGGATGCTGCTGGTAGGCCCTGGCCCGTTAGCGGGCTGTCGCGCAAAGTACAGGCAGACAGATACAATGATTTAAATACATAATATTGAGAAACAGATTGCATTGTATGAGAAATCGTTATCTTCAATATTAACGGTGAAATAGGATTTTCAAAAATATCGAACTTTTGCAATTTTCAAA